TATATATATATATATATATATATATCTGTTTAATTCCTCGATCGATCGTCGTGTACACGTGTACCCAGCATTCATAATACGGCGTACGCTATATATATATAAATGTCGGTTATATATCGGTGAATCGCATTCTTTCGTGTCGCAAATGGAATTCGAATTCGCTGGGGACAAACGAGCAAAATGAGAGCGCGATTGAAACGGGATTTGCAATTCCATCTGAGGGGAGAGAGGGAGGGGTATCGTTGATTAGAATTGGAACGAAAGAAATGTCGGGTCGAGTGCTTTTACGGTTGGTTAAGAATTTTAGAGAGTCGTTTTCAATGCTTTTTTTTTTTCTTCTTCGCTTATCGGGGAGCGATCGGTGGGCAATCGGTGGTGGCAAAGAGGGACCGAGAAACGTGACCAAGCATTAGAGATGTTTCGCTCGAAAATGATTCATCGGAAGTCGAGCCACGACCGATCGATCCTCCCCGCTAGATATTAACGACTTATCCGCGCGTTTCGAATTCTCGAAAATAATCATAAGGTGGATCATAAGGGACGCAAGGGAGAGAAACAAGCCCACTTTTGCAACGATTCTCCCTCTTTTTCTATCGTGAATAAATATCCTCTATGTGTTCGATATTGCCTCGTTACTTCTCTCTTAGGTATACGATACGGATTAAATTTGATGGGTCTATGATCGAACGATTCGCATCGCAGTATACGACTCTGTTGCTATTGGTGTTTGAGTAGCACTCGATAACAGAGTCGATCAACGAACGAACGGACACGGCTACTTCAATTCGATACTTGGCTCACTCTTGAAACTCGCGATACCGCTTATCGTGCTTCTTGTTTACGGAAGATAATTAATTGCAAATATTGTGTCGATGCTCTTCGCTATTTAATTAAAAGAAATAATTATTTCGCTTATTTAATATCACGTTATTATTATTGGCAAACCACCGTGTTTGGTTAATTAAAATTATTGCCGAATGATCGTTTCACTGCGATCATGATCACCGATTAATTCTCGCACAAAGAAAGTAAGATGCAATAACCGCGTCATACGCGTCTATATGTGAAATCAGAATACTCGTAAAAACAAGTGCGATTATTAAAACGTTCTTTCTTTACACACACACACACACACACACACACACACACACACACACACACCGAGAGAGAGAGAGCGAGAGAGAGAGAGAGAGAGCGAGAGCGAGAGAGAGAGAGAGAGAGCGAGAGCGAGAGAGAGAGAGAGAGAGCGAGAGCGAGAGAGAGAGAGAGAGAGCGAGAGCGAGAGAGAGAGAGAGAGAGCGAGAGCGAGAGAGAGAGAGAGAGAGCGAGAGCGAGAGAGAGAGAGAGAGAGCGAGAGCGAGAGAGAGAGAGAGAGAGCGAGAGCGAGAGAGAGAGAGAGAGAGCGAGAGCGAGAGAGAGAGAGAGAGAGCGAGAGCGAGAGAGAGAGAGAGAGAGCGAGAGCGAGAGAGAGAGAGAGAGAGCGAGAGCGAGAGAGAGAGAGAGAGAGCGAGAGCGAGAGAGAGAGAGAGAGAGAGAGAGAGAGAGAGAGAATATTATTACTACTAGCTATTTCTTATAATTAAAATTTTGTGAACATATATCCTCGCTTATTACTACATACGACGATACACGCGCGTATCTTCGAAAGCGACTAGCTGAGAATATGATCGTTTTAGCGTGTGTTGAAGCGTTACGTTACGATCGTCTACAAAGAGAATAACGAGTTTCAATTAAAAGAATGGAAAGAACGTGAGATGCAAAGGGCTATGGAATTCCGCAACACGCGTGTTGTTAGGCAAGACTTGTTGCGCGTGCGAAAACGCGTTCCTCCTGCATTTTCTTCCGCACTAAAACGTTAGTTTATTTCGTTCTAATTTTATCTCTCTCTCTCTCTCTCTCGTGGCTATCGTGGATAAATTTAAACGGAAAATAATTTGTTCGTGACAAGTAAATTTCAAGTAGATTTCTATTAAGACGAAAGAATAATAAGAAAACGAATGAATAATAAGAAAGAAAAAAAAATCGATTCGATGCTTACCATTAAATTGGATAATAACCGTTAAATTGGAAATCGTACAGAGAAGCAAAGACGAGGCGCACTTGATGATGATTTTTCACAACGAGAAAATGTCGCGCGTTACACTTTTAACCGAATAAGCGAGAAGAAACGATCACGGCCGATTATGGGAACGCGTCCTCCCGTGTTCTCGTTCTAACGTAAACTCAACGTAGTTGGATTTGGTAGGAGCGCGCGGCACAGCTCCATACCGTTCCACTCTGCACTCTCCTCCCTCCTTTTGTTTCGTTGGTATACGGTTCGTGGCGAGAGTGCATCGATGCACGAGGGAGCAACGAGCAGCGGTTGCATTAGTGCGTCTTTAACGGTGTACCAACTCATAAGGGCATTGCATCGAGGTTGCACGCTGCGTGCAAACGTTCATCCAACGCCTGTCCGTGTATACACTGGGTTGCGCGCATGCGTACGTGCGCGTGCGCAAGTGTGAGTCGACGCGATTGACAGGCCAAGGCGATTAACTTCAGTGGCGACTCTTTCGCGGATTCTTACTCGCTCCCTTTCTTCGCTTTCTTTCGCTTTTTTTCCCCTTCATCCTTTACGCATGGATTATTTCGTTTTCTTTCTATGCGGTGGATAGAAAGAGGGATTTAAACGTAACGTTTGTTATTTTCTTTGTTGATTTAATCTGTCGATTGACAAATTATTTCGTAATAACTATCCAACGAGCGGGATATTCGTTGTTCGATTCGATCGATAAGAGAGTTGAGAATCGCTGAGAAACGTGCGGTGCATGCGATATATACGTACGGAACTCGATTGGCACACCGGAGGATTTACCGAGAACGGAAGATCGGTGGAGATTAGCGGCAAAACGATTTCTTCACGCTCGTCCAACGTAACCACGCGTTTAACTCTCATCAACTTATTATGTACACATAATTAGAGATTAACGTTTCCAATAAAATATTTCATATATTCTGACGTTGAAATATTAACTAGATATGAAAGTGCATTTTGCTCCTTTCTCTTTTTTTTTTTTAGAAAGTACCACTATTTTTTTCTCACATTTTGGAATTAAGAAATTAACGTTTCGTATTTATTTAATCAGAATTAATAGTCGTAATAATAATTATAGCATAATTATAGGTAAAAGGGAA